CCTAAATAATATTACAATTTTTTTACAACTTCTATGGGTAATTTTAAAGGGAATCAGTTGTCCCCATATCAAGAACACTGTATATGATTAAATACAGTTTATTACTGCAAGGAAATGACCAATAAGCCATTAGGCAGTTTAATGTCCTTTAAACTCCAGAGTGGCAGAGTTATTAGAAATATATAGCTAGATGGAAAATTAGCGAGATGATATCTTAAATAATGATGTATGGTAGTCACTTTTTTGTGGAGAATCAGGTGTATATCAAGTAGACAGATACAGATGTGTGTATGAAATTCAAAAGGTTTTGGATGGAATGAAACAGCAGCTGAGCCTAGGGACAACTACAAAATATTCAGCATGAAGATCAACTGGTGCCTTCAAAAATGTTGGGATAACAGGTTCATCACACAGAAAGTGTTAAGATTACATGTTATTTAAACACTTTCTATGTCACGAACCTGCTATCTCAACATACCATATGCTATAGTAGGTCACTGATAAGATAACAGCATATCAAATACAGTTTGCGTGATATACATTGGGGATGGGTTTGTAAAAAACTATATAAATTCAATGGGATATGTCTGAAAGGATCACTGCCTCATATATCGATACCACTTGCCATACTTCAAAGCTATTTTTCACAAAGAAAGACTCCACCACTTAATGAAGTGTATATACCATGGGCCCAACCCTTTGAGGTGCTGAATTGCTCTTGTAAAAATGCCATGAAAATGTTACATATTTGGAGGTTGACCCTAGGAGAGGCTGCATAGTTTACATTTACAATGAAAGACGATGGTGCTCTGCACTTCAGAAAATCAGTCCTTTGATCAAAACACATTGTGACTAATCTATAGCTATTTTTTTAGGATGCCTTTGCATGCTTAAATATTTGGTTGTTTTTCTTTAGCTTCAAGTTTTCCTTCCCAAATGTAAGACATTCTTTAAATAAGGGGTGTTGTTTCTTAATGTCTAAATAAACGTAAGTAAAACCACATAGGTAATTTGTATTTCATTACTGTGTTGCCAACTCTTGTGATGCCAACACAGTTCTTATGATATTTGGTGTTTTTCTTGAAGCCCCAGGTCTGTATTAATGTGATTATATGAGAATCTCAAATTTCCTTTTACAAAAAAGTAAGTTTCTTGCCCTCATGGTTGCAAAGAAAAATTTGAAAGTATGAGCAGAATGTACCCCAAGGACACCAAAACCAGGAGAATACCTTCCCCCTGCAAAAAAATACAACTTTTTGAAAGCCCCATCATCTTTAAGCCAATCTCATGATTTTTGAGGTCCTAACTCATTATTTTTGAATGTGGTGGGGTAGGCATTACTGTAGTTGCATTCCATTTGTTTATAAACTTGTATACCTGGTCTGAGATGACTATTTCAAATCTGTAGAATTGGTTGGGGTTTTGGGGTATAGGACCACCAATGGCTATTAGCCAAGATGGTCAGGGATGCAACCTCATGCTCTGGGTGTCCCTAACCCTTAGACTGCCAGATGCTGGGATTGAATGACAGGGGATGGATCACTCAATAATTGCCCTGTTTTGTTCATTCCCTCTGAGCATCTGGCACTGGCCACTGTCAGAGGACATGGTACTGGGCTAAGTGGACCACTGGTCTGGCCCAGCATGGCCATTCTTAGGATCTCATAACTAAACGCTATTATGAAATGGCTTCAAGGAGTAATTGGTAATGGCCAAAAAGACTTTATTGTTCTGGGGCCACACAGCAATGTCCTGTTTCCCCCCCATAAGGACCATTATTTTGGCATCTAGTAATCATACAAGTGCCAGGGAGCAGAATATATCAATGTTTCTGCTGAGTAAGAAATGGACAAGCCTGCCCATACATGGGATCAGATACAAGACTGTAAGAGATTCAAATTTTCAGCAGAAGCTATGGATGATCCTTGCGATTATACACACAATAAGGCATTTATGTAGCGTATATCCACGTATAGCAGATAAACATATATAGACACATAAATTACAACACTATAGCATCAATATGATTGCTACCTCCCACTTTTTGCAAGGCAGTTGAATGCTTCATCTCTAAAACATATTCAATCTGCCTGGTTTAGGATCCAAGATCTAAAGTCTGTTTCCTAATTTAGTCTCCCAAACTGAAGTTTAGCACACTGACAAGCAGGCCACTGACCCAAGCTTAGGATGCAATTATTTTGATGCTAACATATCTTCATACCAGCCAAATTCCACCCCCAATGTATACATTCTAATTGCTGCCTCTTTAACAGACATCACCGCAAAGGCTGAAATACAGTTGTTCATTATGTCAAGGAAATACCAATTAACCATCAGGTAATTCAATAAGCTTTGTGTAAATCTAGTGAACAGATGATGTCTTAAATAAGTCTGATGAATTAATGTGCAATTTCTTTACTGCAGAGGAACATATATTGCCAAACAGTGAGCATAAATGTCAACTGCTAGAGCTGCTGACTTCTGAGATGGAGGTGGGGGGGAATAATATTTAAACACTATTTATTTATTTAACGTTGCAAACCAAAGTTTCAGCAACAGTGAACAAATGTAATGAAATTTTGTGTGTTCCATTCCCCAGACAATTCTTCCAACCCCCCAGCACCTCCTCCTGAGTTGAACTAACACAGCAACCTCTTTAAGTCAAATCTTGTAATTGCTTCCAATTTGCCTGTTTTGCTTTTGGCAATTAGCAAACTGAAATGTTATCATGAAAGAGTCCATCTCATTTATAAGGCCAGGTTTTTCCCTCCACTAAAATATGCAGCCACTCTGTTCTTTATTACCAGCAGGAGATAAATGGCTGGTTTTCGTTGCTGAAGAATATATAATGGTTAAAAAGTCACTTTTTTCCTCCAGCTCTACATAAATCACAGAACTAGTCAATATTTAATAATGCTTGCCTTGGTCTGGAGTCCCTTGATCACCCCTGTCATGTGTAATAGCTCCCTCTCCGATATCTTTGACATAAAAGCCCAGCTTTACTGCAATACTAACATGTAGAGGGTCATTACGGATCGACATTTACCTTAATCTGTGACTGCCAACCATGAACCGATAAATTCCAGCAGATTCCACTGGGAGAAATCAGTAAACTTCTCAGTGGAAAGAACTGAAGGAAAATTCTGCCGAGAACAGAATATATTTTCTACAAGGGCTGCTCTGCAAATGGGTTCTGACTTTTGAAAGTTCTCTTGCTGCGCAGCTTTGCAACATTTAATACCGTTTTGATGGTTTGAGAGACGGGATGACAACCGAGGATGACATGACTTAGAAGGCAAGCAGAAATTTTCTCTGCAAAAACAATGCAAGATTAAACACAAGGGGAATATGGCTTTTGCATTATTCACCCTGCTGCCTTAGCGGAAATGGCTGTGCTGTCATGGGTCCAGCCAAAATGTTGCTCCTTTTTTTCAAATCGATCATCACTCCTTCACCTCATAATCTTACAAGTGGTTCACAGCAGAATACATCAAAGCCTTCATTGCATAAAAAAGGGCTTTTGTGAGGGGTCACACATTAAACTGCCTACCACACATTAAACTCTTCAGCACATATGCTTCTCAAACATCTACACAAACAAGTGCATTTATATACTTCCTCTCAAGAGGACAGAAATTGCAGTACGTATTTTTCTTTATTGGCAATACTGGAAGAATCAAACTGTTTTTACTTTGATTATTTAAAAAAAGACAACTTATAAAGCCATCAGTGATTCAGCATCACGCGTATTACTGCGCTTAGGATACTGATTAAACGTTATTTGCCTACAGTACATAGAAGGATTAACACAGAGTAAATAACTATCATCTGAACATTGTTTTTCAGCAGAGTTTTTTCACAATTATCAATATCACCAGAAATACTTTTATAGATACCTTACAACAATCATAATTTAAAAGACAATAAAAATTAATGACAACATTTGCTATTAAGGTAGAATTTATAAATGTTATTTGTGTATATTTTATTATACCTTAAAAGAGGCTTGATAGCTTGAATTAACATAGTAAACATGCACATACATTTTTGTCAATGTTTATTATTCATTGCTCGTGTATTTTATAATAAGTTGTTACAGAATTGTACCTAAGTTGTTACACTGCGTAACTGCTTGAAAAGCATGCATTCAATGTAGAGCATTAAGCAATTGCCCTGGTTACAGTTAGTTGTGTCTTGTATATTCCTTTACAAATATGCAAAGTGATTGTAAAACACCAGTCTGATCTGGTAGAATTTTACACGCACACTGTATCACTTTGCACTGGTATAAATAACTACAGAAAGTGCAAATGCAGTAGAGAGACAAGATAATTTCCCTTAATGTACATTAGAAGAGATTAAGATCACCTTTCACCTATTTTTTATTTCATGGGTTGAAACTGTTTTGTTAAACAAAATAAAGCTACAATTTTTATTCAAATATTTTTGAAAAGAATAAGTGGTTGATGTCAGTAGGTACTACTCTTAAAAAATGTTCTCCTTAAAAACAGAAAGTTGCCTTGCTAATCTAAGCAATACCTCTTTATCATTGCTTGTATGAATTGTACTGTACACAAACCCAAACCTGCAAACCTTATTCCTGTGAGTCACTCTTACTCACAAAAGCGAACTTACTGATATTGTGTGAATAAGGACTACTTGTCTGAGTAAGGGTTGCAAGATCAGAGCCCTTGTTTGTATCTTTAGATTGAAAGTTTTTTGGGCAAGGATCTTGTCTTTTCTTGCCCATATATGTGTTGGTGCTACTGTAAAGTACCATATGCAATTGCAGTAATATATCATTATATTACTAAAACGATCAACCACTTATTGGTGTGTGTATGTCACTCTCTCTCTCTCAAATCAACAACTTAAAGATAGTGGCAGAAAATTAAAATTCACTACTAAAGAAATACTTGAAAAAAACCCCAACAGAATTCTACTGTTTTAAGTTTATTATTATTATAATGGTAAGATTAGATGTACTATAAAGAAAATACCTTGATTGGCATAGAAGAGACCAGTGACGAGGACTGCATAGGTTAACTGCCCATTAGGTTTATTCAGAGCTAGCCATTTTACTTGTACACCTCTGGATCCATCAATAGTGGCAAATACTTCAAGTGTACCTTCAGGTCTAGCTTCAGTTGTACGAGCTTCGACCTGCAAATTTAACAGTCATGTACAGTTTGTTGCTGTAGTTTGTAAATAACTGAATAAATCAATTATACATTTTAATGCAAGTTTTCCTGATTAAAAAATTTAACAGTGGCATACTATTGTTTTTAAAAAATGTCTTTTCCTTTACCACCCACAGATATGCCTCCCATTTGAAATATTTTATAAGAGGATGAGAAAGAAAGAAAGAAAGAAAGAAAGAAAGAAAGAAAGAAAGAAAGAGAAATCCACTAGTGTCTGATAGCCTGAAAATGCAGTGGCACCTAATTCTAACGCATGAATCTTGCTCTGTGACCCAGGAAAAGATAGAGAGGGGAACAAGGTCCCTTAAATTTGCTGATGTTAAAAGATAACTATAATACAAAAATGTGCTTAAGTCTGCTTATTATATTACTACAGATATTTGACAGACAAAAAGTATCCTTAAATAAGTTTGGTTCAGAAACAGAATTACATTACTAACTTTCCAGCTCCAGAACCCAGAAGATTTAAGTTGAAATAATAAGTAGCCTTTGAGAGAAAATAAAAGCTGACAAGAGAGCTAGCATTTACTTATATAATGAAGCCCTAAAACTAAGATTCTTGTATCTTAAACAAAAATCTTAGTCTTAGGGCTTCATTATATAAGTAAATGAAAAATTTCTAATTACAGTGGAATTCAGTTTTATTAATCACGGCTTGTGGCCATTATTCACAGTGCCATGATTCAAACTTTACAGTCCCAAAGTCATTTCTCATTTATGATGACGTTTGTTTCTCACCCGTAATTTATTTGATGTTTTCTAAGGTTGGAAAGGATTTTTATACCTTTTCTGAATGGCACTCAGCTTCAGATAAAGAATGTTACAGTTTGTGGGTGTGCTGTTTAGTGCCAATTTTAACCTGTCAAACCTGCTTTGGCATTAAGACATCTAAAGGAACTTTCTCTGTCCTTGTAAAATGGTGATTTTACTTCTTAGCACATCTGGTTTGGGAAGTTTATTGGTTTACTGACCTCTATATATTCTCTGATCCAGTAAAGCACTCAAGCACAAGCTTAACTTTAAACAGGTGAATAGTCTGAATTCAATCTGATTACTCACAGACTTAAATATAAGCAAATGCTTCAGTACTTTGCTGGATCAGGACCAGAGTGTGCATTTGGATATTGCAGTCAAAATGGGGATTGCCCAAAATCAATCCTTATGACAGGATTCCACTATACTGTGCTTTCTAATCTAAGTCAGATCCTGTGATGTACTGAGTGCCTAATGCAAGTTGCCGTGCAGCCCCAGCACCTCAGAGAATTGGAGGCCAGCTGACTGCCTTGGTTCTCAGACTTAGGAGTGAGAGGCTGATGCCCCCAACGACACACAGAGTGTACACCTAACTGTTTAATTTATTGCATTGGTTCTGTCTGATAAAGTGTAGCCATGTCTGTGAGAGGCGAGTGATTGGTGGGGTTCATTTTCAGTATTGCACTATAATTATCTTCTTCTATCAAAAAGCTTAAGCAGTTCCTAAAATTCTGTGTATATGAAGTAATCTGCACCAAATCCCAAAGCTTTTGAATCTTGCACTTACCTTACCATATTTATATCTTGTTATTTTAAAACATGTTGCAATATTCTGAAGTCTTTTTTCATCTCCTATTTTCCTCACATATTGAAAAAAAACCTAGTATGTATAAAATGCTACTACTACAAAAATACTAGCTATGATCTGTAGCATACACTATGGCTATACTGGAAATGCACATTAAATGGGACACTATTTGTGTAAACAATAGACACTCTGTATGTAAATACTTCTGTATAACACAAGCACTGTTTCTTTTTCTACGCATTATCTTATATTCAAAGTCTTTTGATATTTCCAGGTGTATTTTAATAATAATTTTCAAAGTAACAAAAATACTCTTCAACTGCACAAATAAAAATTCTAAAATGGGGTAAAGTAACAATAATGTTTATATTGTACTAAATATTTTTGGCAAAGTAGATTAGGAGAATATACTAAAAATATATTTAACCTAAAAAGGTTAAATTAGTATGTTTTAAATAGTGAGATGAGAATAGAAATATTCACTGATCATTAATCATATTTATCTTTCATTATATTATGAAATTAATGTCAAGACATCCCCCTACTGTCTTCATTTCTCTCATTTTTCTAAATCACGTGTTGATTGTTTTTGCAGTGGTTTGTACATTTCAAAAACAGCAGAGTTTTACATGTAAGGATGTATCTGAATTCCCCTATTGAATCAAATAGAAAATCTAACTTTATTTCCTCAAGAACAGCCTTTTTGCTTAACAAAAGCAGCAGGATAAAATTAGTACAGATTCTACATTATCTTTGCTAGCAAGAAATTAAAATTAAACATTTTGGAATACATATTTTCTAGGTTTATATTTCACTTGAAATAAATTTTAATCACTATGAAAAGCAGTTAAAACAAAACAAATCCTTATTGATAAATGCAACTGGCAACTCTCAAGTACCTGATTAAAATCTTCACAGCTACCTTCAGAAAATGTAAGCTGGAGGAATCCGGTGCTTAAGGTAGTCACATAGCATCTCTTCAATCGATTAGGGCACATTAAATAAAAGATCAGCAACAAAAATAGCTGGAAGGATAATATCAGTTTACTACTGGGAGATGTCCCCTGTAGTATTTAGAGTACTCAAAGAGCCAAAGTATTTTTAAAGTGTTGCATTTATACTGTAATTGATATAAAAATCTTTCAGACAAATCAAATGAAGATGTAGTGCTCGAACTTCCTGGCAGCATTTAGGTGAGTTGCTCTAAATAAAGACATTGTACTTCAATTCCTGTGATTAGAGATGGATCACTGACTTGGGAAAATAGTTTGTGTACTGAGCATGGGATGCAGTGAATATCAGCTACAGCAACCCTTACTTTGAATTGTACTGAAAGTCAAGACGGTGTTTGGAATTTAGTGGAGAAGTGAAAATTTTTTTTTTTTAATAATTGTTTTGTCTCCCCCTTATTTTAGTGCATATTTGATGGCACTGATGTACTGAATTAGCATTACATGTTTTTTATATATGATCTGCAAAGGGGGTTCTATGATACCCCATGTTTAATGGTGCTATTTGCACAGTGGAACAGGTGTGAATTATGTAATATCTAGATATTTATTCTGGAGTTTGAATTCCTAAAAGAAGTTTAAATTTCTGGTATATGTGAAGTTTTTAAAAACGGATAAGAAAAACTGGCAAAAAGCCACTCATGCTTTTAAGAGTAAATATCCATCAAAGCAGTCTTAGCTATAAAATGTTTAATGGTTATAAAGTCTTCAGCCCTGTTCTATGGATAGATGATGTTACCAGCATTTGAAAGCAACTAATCTTGGGAAGAAAATGAGAAATGTGACCAAAAATAAGAATGCAAAAATTAAACCCTGAAGTTTTACTTTGAGGTAATATTTATATAGCACAGCTCATTGCCATTAGAAAGTCTGATGTTAATATAAATAGAGCGATAGGTAGAATGTTGTCAAAATAACTAGACAATTATTTTTTAAAAAATTGTTAAAACAAGTATATGGGAGGGTAAGTTTTACTGAAAGATTAAATCTTGGAAAAATATAAAGGGCTATTTTAGCAATATTTAAAACAAAATCAGGCAGAGCAATTATTATGAAAGTTATTAATCAGCTACAGTGTTACAAAAACCATACTGATTTATCAATCCAGTAGCTTCTCTAAAGTTCTAGAATAACATATAAATGTTTTAAGTCTCAGAAGACTTGTTTTCAGATGTCAACACTGATATTAATGTAATCTTAAATTGCAAATCCAGTGTTTTTTTGTACCAGATTAATAAAATATTTTCCTTTTAAACACAGATTTGGATTTAAAAATATTTGTGAATTAGCATATCTTTTTTTTGGTAGTATTGTCATGTTTTGTCTTCTATAATCCTCAAATTATCTTCAACCCTTTCAGTCAGGCAGATAGAATTTTGCTCATTACTGGAATAGTAATTCTTTCTTTATGTGTGTCCTTATAAATCAGGTTAAACCACATCTACACCTTTTAAACATATTAACTCTACTTAATTTCAATAATATGTGTTTCAGCCTCACATCTAACTCCCTGTCACTTCTTTTACTGTACCTATGTGTGATTTTGGAACAGTGCCTAGTGATGACCTATCAAATCCTTAGCAGCTCTTAAATGGCATTTTTTATAAAATGTCACATTTTGCCAGATGGGTTAGTACTGACCAGAGTGAATCATCACCATTTACTCTGATATTCACTGCCATCTGACATTTATTACATTCCCAGAATGCAAATTGAGGTACTCACCAATGGACCCAAAGCACAACCTTTTGCAGTACATGCCTGGACTCTGAAGGAATGCAGACTCCAAGGAACAAGTCCATAAGCATAATAACTTAGCTGTGATGAGTTCTGCATCAGAATGCCATTCATATGCAATCCGTAACTAGTAATAATACCTACAAAAACAATGTTACACTTAACAGGGTCGACTTAATACCTGTGTGACAATAGAAGTACGTGATGAAAAAACCTTGAAAGCTACAAAATACCAAGATGCTGTTAACTAATATTTTAAGCGACTGAAAGGATTTCAGGAACTGTAGCAGCAATTCATGTATGTCAGTGAAACAAAACGTACTCTCCATCTTTAAATGTTGAAAATCTGGCCAGTGGTCTGCATTCATTTTGTACAAAATTTACACTGCTCCAAAGAGCATGGTATAATAGACGTGTTTCTGAACTAAAACAGTCAAGGCAATCTTAGAACTGAGAAAGTTGAGGCAATTCTCTTTCACAGCCTACTCTGCATGCAAATGCACATGTAGATTAAAACAAAGACATGAAAGATATATAGCAACCATTTTAAATCCTAACACCTTCAGACTTAGAAAAAATAGTGATCTACATTGTAAATGTAATGCTGAAGGAGAAGTCAGACCAAGGCCAAAAGAACAATCCCTTCAACTATCACATTGACCTTAGCCTTCATTCCAGTGGAACATATACACAGGAATTCCTTACTTTTTTTTTTAAGAGGTCTATTTTTAATGCTAAAATATTTCAAATAGTCAGCACTTGTAGTCTATATTTATGTAAAGCTCTATTACCTTTAGGATGCATGATAAGCAGACTGAAAATATATTCTGTCACACTAAATACCTTAGGGAAATTCCCTTTTGTTGGCAAATGGCATGTAGACTTTCTGTTCACTATTCTCAAATGAACTAGATCCACTATTAATCTGTCCTTTTCTAGATCACAGTTTTTACCTGCTTGATTAAATAGGACCTACCTTGTACCTATTTTGGTCAATTCATTTTTTAGAATATGAAATAATATTGTTTCAGAGTATATTAGAGAAAAGATCTTGTAGTAAAATGGCTGTGCTCCTGTTAAAATCAAAGGAATAAAATTTCCAGCCACTTAGACTTAGCATTAGCAATATTTTGAGGGGAGGGTGTTGGTTGTTGTGTTGCTGATGATAACTCTAAATTGCAGGGATTTGCTGGTCTCATGTCTAAGGGAACCCAAAGTGTTCACTTGTCCAAAGGGGACAATAGGACTGTGTGAACCCTGTAGAATTCAGTTTATGAATGGGCGAAAGAACTGTACACAGCAGTTTGGTTTTCATTAACTGAAGAAAATAGCCCCTTACAGGTTTGTTTCAATCTAGAGTTCAACCAATTGGAACCTCCAAAGGGCATCCCATCCACACCCCTAACTACTCTTTTCCTCCTCACACGTGGATACCTTCTTCCTCCTCTTCCCCATCTTAGCTGTTTTAATGTGGACTCCAAAGGCCAGTTGAGCAGCTGGGGAAGGGGTTGTACGAGAAACCAAGGCCAGTTCAGAGGAAGTTTTCTAGCTTGCCTGCTATGCAGACAACCCATGCTCATCTCTTAGGTCTATAGCAATAGGCTGAGGTTTGCAAACACAGTGAACCTCAAATTCAAAGCTACTATTAAAGTGGGTTTGAATATTTCACAGAGCTAAGGTACTGACCCTTTGTTCAACAGGGGCACTGATCCTCCAAAATTGGGGTCCTTCCCCATAGGAAAACAGTGAATTGCAGCAGGCAGAGTGGGTGAGAGGGTGGAAAATTCTTACTCCAGCCAATCTTGGTGCCTTAAACATCATGCAATATGCTGGTTTGTTTCATATGGACATTTTGTGTTTCCATATGATCACAGCTGAGTTCTAAATACACCTGAGTGAATAACTGATTTTTCAGTTTAGGGTCCCCTCAAACCAGAAAAAAAAAGTCAAATGTGATTTTTTTTCCTCACCAAAACAAAAGACAAACAAAAAATTTGCTCAGATTAAATGGCAATGGCATTTTGAAAGAAAGTATCAAATTGAAACAACATTTCAAAATGAAACATGGAACTGTAACGACATTTTCAAACTGGTTCATTTTGGCATTTCTGAATTTTTTATTTTTAGTTTTGTTTTTGGCTGAACAATTTGCTGAATTCAACCCAAATTCGCAAATAGTCTTTTTGCCCCGCTGTAGTTCTAAATCTGTAATATGCACCATATTCCTAGGAAAAAGTAAAAGTAGCATTTGTTCTATGCACACATTGAGTCTTAAAGAGCCCTCCACAGTGTTCCAGCACTCAACTTTGACATGCCTACTCTTGCACCTTTTTAAAGAATTTCCACAGGTTTAATTGGGAAGCTGTATGGCCGGATACTACCATCCCCTAAACTGTACATGTGCCGCTTCAGCAGATAACCTCACACCTAAAACTACGTGAAACTCAACAGCTGTGGTATGCAGGGCTCTGTGTGAAGCTTTTCTAATGTCAGATTGCATAGGTTTAAACTACAAATTTTGGTTTCAGTGCCAGATTCAAAGGAAAACTTAGCTGACACCACTTAGGTTTGCCTGATTTCCACTTCACTCAGGCTCATTCAAACATCAGAGAACCACTCTGTGACCCTCAGACAAATTTGAGGCTGGTCACACCACATTTCCAAAGACATTTAATGGGCTGACAAACATAAATGAGGACTCTAACATGAATAAATTTAATTCAATAGGCACCATTAAAAACAAGTCATTTACCGCCCAGTATTGCTAAATTTACCAAAGTGGTTGCAGTAATTTCCATTCAAAGCATACAATAAGGAATAGTAAAGGGTAAACGTAAATACACTTTAGGTCCATTTTTCAAAAGTAGCACTCACTTAACTTAGCTTATTGTTAATTCTGTTGTGCATAAAAGAATGAAGCCTTTTGTGATTATTGAGGAATTATTAATTATTTCACAATTATTGAGCAATTTTAGCATAAGAATCAAACTGAGGGTGTTGGGGTAAGGAGCATGAAATGACTATAGTCCAATGCTCCAAGGTGGTCAGCATCTGCAGCTTCCGGATTTGAACTGGATTTGTGGGGGCTCCAGGAGCGGCGCCAGGGTTTTTGGTGCTCTAGGTGAGGGTCCTTCTGCGCTCCCGGTCATTGTCGGCAATTCTGCGGCGGGGGGGGGGGGGGGGGGGCTTCCGTGCTTCCGGTCTTCGGGGCAGTTCGGTGGCGGGTCCCGGAGCGAGTGAAGGACCCGCCGCAGAATTGCCGCCGAAGACCCGGAGCGCGGAAGGACCCACCCGCTGCCGAATTGCCGCCGAGGGCAGCAAAATGCCACCCCCCCATATCCTGGTGCCCTAGGTGACCGCCTAGGTCGCCTAAATGGAAGCGCCGGCCCTGGGGGGCTCAGCATTTGTGAAAATCAGGCACACAGTGACTACAAATGGTTTTTGCAATGCTGCAGTCAAAATATTCCAGAAGGTTACCCTCTCCCCACCCCCTATAGTGCAACCATGTCTGGATATGCTGAATGTGGCTGATCTGAACCCATGTGCAAGATATACCTGAGGCTTCAATTAAAAAGGGAAAACAGCCTTCATATTGTTGAATAATCGCAGTACATTTATGCTTCCCTCAAAACTGAATTGTTTGAATTTACACTGAAGACTGTGTTTGAAACTGAGAAGAGACTGTGCCTCTCAGTTGATTGAGGAAATAAATAAAAGTGAATAAAAACTGGTGCGTTTCTGTGAAACACTGAAGTGTTGTACTTCACAGATATGTACTCTAAACTAGTCAGAGATGTGTATGTTAAACTGATGAACTGAACTTATTGATTCCTTTTGCCCCTAGAAAAGTAAGAGCTTGAACCCAGGACAGAGACAGGAGTCATGTGAACAAAACTTGGGAACTCTACTCAAACTAATCACACCACATTTTGACCTCCTGCTTGAGGCAAAACTCCTCTGGGATTCTATGGGAGGTTTCACTGTCTAAAGAGAACTAACGCATATCTGTATTTGGCCTACAATAAATAAACAAGTTAACATAAATACAAAATATCTTGAATTTACTTCAGAAGAAGGGCATTTAAATCAAAATTGCCCAGGACAGTCTTAAATGTCTTAAACCTTGGTATTTAGGGTGTATTATACAGGAAAAGAAATAGAAGAACTTTAAGTACTTATATGAATAACACTAACACTTAAAAATAATGGCATAAGCATTATTAATTTCTTTGGTATTTATTGTAAAAGCATTAATCACAAACTCATTTGGTATTATCGTAGGTGTCATAAGTACGTCTATAGGATCTCCACTATAACTCAGCATTCATTAACTGGACCAGTATTTTAAATTATACCTGCAATAACAACATCGTACAGCATATGCACTATGAAAATCAACTTTCCAAAATATAATATGAACTTCTGGTATTTCTCCGAATACTGTCAGAAAACAATTGTCTTTTTAATAAAGCCGATGCATTATCTCCTGATTTTAATGTTCACATTCAAATAAATGCTTCTGTTTTACAGGGGCCTTTTTTAACTCTGTAATTTTCTGTGCAAAGAAGAAAAAGTGAGTTTGAGAATGGAGAGAGCTTAGGTGTACCAGTGGTCTGGATTCTAGGTGCTGGGTCAGAAACTCAAGTTCTCATTCTAAATCAGACAATAATTCCCTTTGTGGCCTGGGGTAAGTAACTTAACCTATCTTCCCTCTGTTTCCACTTTTTTTCTTGTGAAATTGCAATAATATAAGTCCCTACCTATCTCACAGGGCTGTGAAGATTAGTTAGTGACTGTCTATAAAGCACACTGAATACAGGTTTAAAGCCTGTCTGCAAGTTTGCCTATTAATCCAGAATTGCCAAATATTTCTCCTAAGCTGCTAAAATGATCAGCAAACAGTTAATGTTAATATGTTCGTTGTCATCGTTGGGCTTCACTTAACACACACTGGCCATGAAAAGGGGCAGTTTTATTCTCAGTCATAAGTCTAGCCAGGATAGGTTAAAATCCTGACTCCACTGAAGTCAACTGGAGTTTCTCCATGGACTTCAATGGGCCAGGATTTCACCCTTTATTTTATTTTATTATTAAACAAAACCTTCAATTATGGAGAAGATGATGGGGCATCAGAGAAGTGCTTATATATCAGAGTGCCATGACTCAGTTTGACCTTTGAGTTTGAAGATGAAAAGAACTACTATATGTAAGTGCTAAGAACGGTTCTGATTAGAATATAAACTAGGGGTCAAATCTTGCAAAAATGTACCTTTACTCACATGAATAGTTCAATTAATTTCAAAATGAGTAAACTTTCTCCCTTGCTTAATGTTTTCAGGCTCAGGTGCGAGATTAGTCAAATGTAATGGGGTGCACTGAGTAATTTCATATATTATTATTATTTCATATTTTCATTACAAGAGGGCCTAGAGGCTGCAATCTGGATCAGGACCCCACTCTTTGTATGCAGCATACACATACATAGGCACTGCCCTGAGGAGCTTACAATTTAAGGATAATTATCAGACAAAAGGGAATTTAAAAAAAAATAATAGAAAAGAATATGTGACTGTCTTCGATAAAAGGAAATTAAATAACTGATCTAGTAAAGGCAAGACAAGACTTGGTTCTAATGAATATAGAGTGGATTCTTTATTGAGGCCACTAGCACAAGCAGCATGCTAGCTCCCAGATTAACTAAACAGAGCCTCTTATGCCTAATGTAACCAAACATGCCTCCGTACATCCTGCCCTGAACAAATCAGTCATGCTGACTACACTACACATATATGAAAGGGGTAGCAGAAAGGGCCTGCTGTCGTACAATGCATCTCAGTTCACCTATTTTGTTTTTGCTTCGAAGTTTGAATAAAAGAATAAATAACTGTGTGTTTGGTTCTACAAATGTCATACGCAGCAGTATCATTTCCCCAACTTGTCACCTACTGTAAGAATTCATTATAAACCTGAAACTTAGACCCTTTGCCAGAAAGCCTTTTGTCAAAACTGGGTCCAGTCTTAATGACACTGTGCCCATGTTCACCAGAATCTGAGTCCAAATTTGACTGAAACAAAGACTCAGTTTCCAGGCTGTGATAAGAAACTCTTTCATCACTGGATCCTCACTCACCAAACACACTTCAAAGCCCCTGTTTCTTCTCATTTTACCCAGGGTTATGTTCTGTGGGCAAGCCTGATAGACTACAATTCTGCTCACCACCAGTGTCTTCAAAGGTTGCATTAACAGCCCCTCTTTCCTTCTCCATGGAAACTCAGAGGCAGAGGCAGTCTTTTCACCATCTATCGCAGGGATCGGCAACCTTTGGCACGCGGCCCATCAGGGAAATCTGCTGGCGGGCTAGGACTGTTTGTTTACTGGCAGTGTCCGCAGGTTCGGCCAATCGCAGCTCCCAGTGGTCGAGGTTTGCCGTTCCAGCCCAATGGGGGCAGCAGGAAGCGGCGGCCAACACATCCCTCAGCCCACGTCGCTTTCCGCAGCCCCCATTGGCCTGGAACGGTGAACGGCGGCCAGTGGGAGCTGTGATTGGCCAAACCTGCGGATGCTGTCGGTAAACAAACCGTCCTAGCCCGCCAGCAGATTTCCTTGATGGGCCGCGTGCCAAAGATTGCCGATCCCTGATCTATCATCTTAAAAGGGAATAGCAAAGTCCACGCCATCTAATTCAAAGGATATCATAAAGGCAGCAGCCAATCTGCCTGCCCAACTCCATTCAATGGCACCTAATGGATTTCCTGGGTCCTCATGATGTAATGACTCCTTAACCCATTTAGGGTAGAAGTCAGTGGGAAGATAAAAGGAGACTCCTGAGTTCTACTAGGGAGATCCCAATTTATAGTGTAGGATAGACATATACAAACCTTGGCAGTTTCTCGTGGTTTTAATCTGAAACCAAGCCAAACTCAGTGGTTTGAATTGAGTTTTGCTACTTTAAATATAGTAGCTCAAAACTCAGGGGATCTGAATCAATGAATCAAAGGAAAACGGGATGCATGCCCCTGCAAACAAAAAACTACTGAGCCCAGCCTACAACCTTTTTCAACCTATAACCTTGAGCAGAGGCCAGAGCAGACACTAATACTGGGAAGCAGGAATGGCTAAAGTAAAGTGCCTCTGTGCTGTTTATTTCACTTATTTGAATTGAGCCAAGATCCCTTTCACCTGAGATCTTTTTTAACCTACAACACAATTTGAAAATGCAGGCACAACTATTGTTACTGAATGAAGTGCTCACTAACCAGCCCAAAAGATTTGTTGAAAATGTATAACACAGAGCTCCTGGGTGACTCAAATTTTCCTGAGATAACACAGTTTTGTTTTCAATTAGCCTTCCAAAAATAAGACAAAGATAGAAAAGAAGGAATAGTAGAACAACAAAATTCACATCAGGATTCAGGCCCAGACTAGTTAGTCCCTCAATGGATGGACAAAGGAGGTGACCCCTTCACCTCAGTGCAAGTGACAACTACAATGTGGCAAAGGAGCACAGGCCCTGCTCCCTGCTAACACCCCTGTGGGTGCCAGCTGCCTGAAAAGGGGTAGCACCTCTTTCTTCTTCTAGCCAGCCAATGAAAAGAAAAGAGGGAAGCACACCAGTTCACATTGTGGCAGGGCTACTAGTCTAGTATTCTCTCCCCAGGAGCGGACAGGAGGGATTCTGGCTAAGTCTGGCTGCTAACTTTGACCATAGAGCAGCCCTTCTCTACACCCCTCACCCAGCCCACCACCCCTGCATTCCACTGCCAACAACATCTGCAGCATCTACACCTCTGTATAGAGCCTTTCCCCGCCGAGGGTAAAAACCACCCATGCTGACTCCATAGCCATACAAGGCTCCGAAAACAGTGGACATTATACAGTTCTATTGTGCAGGGGTCAGGAAAAGAGGGAGAAGCACACATGGGAGGATCCTTGTGTGCTGTGGAGCACAGCTCCAGGAGGTTGAGGTGGAAGAGCAGGCTCCAGGAAGGATTTTTGCGGTGCAACTGCATATATACACTGGCCAAAGCTCCTCTGACTAGGAGGACAGTGTAGTTATAAAGGCTCCTGAAGCCTTCAGCCTCCATGGGCTGACTGGGACTGGGGGTAGAAGACTTCCATCCTCCAACCACTGTGGAACTCCCCAAAGCATTTATTATGTCTGTGTTTGGTTCCATAGCTTTAGTACCCAACCATTCATTATGCTCTTAGAGTAAAAACTGAGCCATACTACAAACAATAATTGCTGTAGTAGAAACAGCCTAAGATCTGTATATATTGTAGCCATCTCCTCACAACCATCCAATCATTTCCCACACAATTTAAATAAAATGTGATGGAGATTGATTAATTAAAAACATAAGGCCTGATCCTGCCTTGCGAATGAATTGAAACTCCCATTGATTTCAGTCAAAGTTTTAACAGAGCAAGGATAGCAGGATTGGATCCTTGACTGCAAGCACTACATGACAGGCACTGTGGGTAGAATTATCAAAGACACCTTATCAAAAAATCAGTGAGACTGAGGCCCAAAGTCACATAAGTGGTTTACATTTTTCCTCCTATTTCTTCCTCTAAGTTTTGTACCAAATACATTGATGGATTTCAATAAGGCTTCAGTGCCTTATTGGGCCACAAAGAATGTTGCAGGATCAGGCCCACATGATCATAAATAATAAAAAAACTAACAACATAAAAGGAATGGTAATCTAAACCATACTAATGGCCTATGAACATTTTCTTCCACATCTACAGCAAGTCTGACAATACAAAATATTAAAAAATAAATCTTAAAAATTCCTAATTACTTATATTTTGCTCAAAGTGCTTTGGCCAGATTACTAAAGGTAAGGAGGTGTTGTGGTTCTCAGCACTGCAATGCCTAACTCATTTAAGGAGCATAGCTCTCGTTTTCAAAAGGGATTTAGGCATGTAGGAGCATCTCTGAGTACTGCAACACCTAAATACCTTTAAAAATCGGAACCTTTGAAACCAAACTATATGTGTATTGGGTATTTTGTTCTAAAACAGGAATCAGAGGCAAACCTGCAAGAGGAAAAATGAAATTCACGTTATTTTACAATTCATAATACTTGATATGTATCAGTGTTATATTTTGATTATGAAAGGCATAATAATATAAATTCTTTTAAATGTTTTGCACTCAGTTTCAGTGATTTCTGGGTATCCTTCTGTGTTCCTATTTGAATGGAATAGGCATAAAGCTATGAAATCAGGGAAATGAAAGTCCCATTTTCACATCTTTAAAAATATCCAATTGCCCTAAAAGTTAAGACATGTACACAACACACAGAGAAAAAGGTCCAAATTATAATAATTGTATTATCAAACTTTCACACCAGTGCAGGTGTATTCTCTCTCTCAAGGTGAGTACATAGAATGAAATGATTTTTAAGAACAAATACAAGAAGATAAGAACAAGTATATTAAGGAATTAATCTGACAATTAAAAATATTAATTGTATCAAAAATGAATGCTTTATTAGAAGGTACAATGCAGACCCTATACGATCATGCTCAAAGAATACCCATTTCGTCAGCTAAATTGTTCTGGAAAACATTAAGCAATAAGATGCAATACACAAGAACTATCAAAAGGGAGCACTTTTGAGCTACTAAAATTGTGTGCTAGGTTGAAAGCCACAATCTCCTAGCTACAGACAATGATACTATCTCAGGTATTTTATGTGCTAAAATGGTCATTAAAAATTAAGCACCACATATAAGCTGCCATTTAGAATATTAATTTACCTTTACTAATCATCTTTTTAACTTGAGGCTAAAAGAGTTCACTTACCATTCGGATACTCAGGCTTAGTCCAAGAGATGTTAAAGGAGTCAGATGAATATGACTGGGCTTTTGGAGCAGGAACACCTTCTGGTGTACTCTCATCTGTGATAGCTACGCTAGCTTCACTTATCGTACATCCACCTCCAGTGCAAGCCTTAAAATATCAAACGCAGCAAATAAATATACTCCAAAGTGATGCCAAAATAAAAAGGCTAGAAATCAATTTTTGTAAAGATTTGTAATTTTACTCCTCAGAAATTAATAAAGCTTGTGCATTTCACAGGAAGGCATGCACTTTTCACAATCATATAGGGCTTTTTCCCCCCTCCTGGAATAAAGATATTCCCTCATATAAAAAATATCCTATTTGATTATATGTATCTTTAGATAGTCTTTAGGTACCATAAGGATGAAACCTAACACTAATGCTGAACTTACAGTATTTTAAATTTGAATGTAAGTCATGATGATGATTAAAATTCCATTGCTCTCACTGCAATAGTTAAAGAAAATTACAGTGTATATGTACAGTATATATCATTGACAGTAGCACAACTCTCCTTGTAATTGAATAATGTGCACTCAGAACCTTCAGACCGGGAAATACTGACTGGCTAGTGCTGCACTTAGAAAGAAAAAAAATACATCTTTCAATGAATAGCCACAGGAAAAAGAAATGACCATCAGTATATTCTTGTACTTCATGGGCGCACACTAACTAGTAGTTTTCAAATGCAATTAAAAAGTGAAAAAATTAATTTATAATAAATCAATACATAACAGTTGCTGAGTGCATCTTAATGGATAAGGAGGTCGAATCGTTTGTATTTTAGTTGCCAGCAGAGATCAGCTCATTACATGATTTTCACATTTTGCTTGATCATGAGACAACACTCTTGACATACAAGAAACTGTGCATATTAACTTATATAATAGACTTTTTTATGTTCTCTCCCTATATATTTATACAATAAACTGTGGGCCTGATTCTGCAATCCTTACTCATGGTAGCCCCATTACTGGCACTGGGACTATTAGCAGGAGCCAGGGCTTCTCATAGGAGTAGAAGCCACAGGATCTGGCAGACTCTGTAGTAGATTAGGTAAATCAGAGGGGGGTTTGTTTGGTTTTTAGAAATTCAGTTAGGTATTTACCTAATAAACCACAATGAAAGCATTTTGAAATGTTAGTAAATAAGCATTTATGCAATCAACATTTTGAAAAGCCTATAAGGAAGCCATTTTAAAGTCTGTTGTGTTAACATACAAACATTTCAACAGAGGATGTTTTTAATCTGAAAAATTAAAAGTAATAAGACAACAAATCAAGGCCCCAATCCTGCAAAGATTTCCCCACGTTCTTAACTTTATGTGAGTAGCCCCATTGAAAATAGGAATAGACAAAGTGTCTAAGAATGTGAGTAGTCCTGCTTGCAGTATCAGTCCCCAAATAAAAACAAAAGGCCGGATCTTGCTCCCAATGAGCACTCATGGCAGTCAGATTTCCTTTCAATATGGAGTAATTCCATTTGAATCCATTGTGCACAGATTTCCTCACTTTCCCCTGTGTTTTAAAATGGGAAGGAATTAATCTGCTTTCATAGTCACTTCCTGCTCTGTGCACTCACATCAGCAATGTCAACAGGAGCGTAAACAGGTCATCAGAGAGTTGCCCATTCAGGCTGTGTTGTACGCACACAGGATGTATTCATTTCACTGGGAATTTTGCAATCCAGAGCAACTGCAGAATTTGAGCACAATGTTCAACTTGCCCTCCAAAGGGAATGCAAAAGAACAAACCATGGTTTTCAGAAAAGTCCAAAATTAGTGTTTACTCCAATGAGATGGTGTAAAATACAGATATTTAATTGATTTTTACATGACTTTCTTCAACAGATTATGGTATATCAATTTTCAGCTAGGTCAGCTTTGAGTTTAAATTGTTTTATCCTTTTCCTTTACCATTCAGATTTGTGGGCTCAATCTGGCAGAAATTAGTCTCTAGTACTCCTCTCTAACAGAAGCTCCATGGGCTTCTTCCACTCCACAGCTGTATCTGACACTCACAATTCAAGTATGAAATATCCCAGTTTTGGTGACCATCATACACCTGTTTAGGCAATCTGTGCAGATCCTTTCCTATGCACTGGGTCTTAGAAATTATGGGTCTGTACTAACGCCCACTGTAGTCAAAGGAACGATCCCCAGTAACTCCAATGGGCTTTGGATCAAGCCCTGTATTAGCGGGAAGCCACTGATCATGTGACACATCAGGTTCTTAGTCAGCTGATTAACATTCAATCTGTTGAGGAAGACGCTCAAAGCAGCAACAGCCCAGGTGCATTGTATTCCCCAATTGCTGCCTGCTTTGTTTTGCCAGTCAGCCAGGAAAAGCATGAAACGGGACTATGTGGCTCACCCTCAAATATTTTTTAAAGAGAGAGAAAATGAGAGACAGAGAGAAAGGAGGAGGTCCCTGAACTTCTCACTGCCAGAAGATTTCCCCACTAGCACAATCCCAAACCTAGCTTAAATACCCAGGAAAATTTTGGTGGTGTTGATTAGAAAAACATTTCAGGGATTGAACCACTATGTGTCAGTCCCCTACACACAGCCACACACTATCCATGACATGGATTAACACCTACTAGCTTCATGAAGAACTTAAGAAGCAAGCATACGACAAGTACAAGGTGTCAGAGAGCTCATCTTCCTGAGTTCTTCACTCCCTCGCTGGTTCCAGTATTCTCAGTTGTGGCACAGGGGCATTTTTGTTTTGTGGTCCTCCACATCAGGCCTGCCTTTCCTGTGACTATACGTGCATTTTGAACAACACGGATCCATGACTTTTGTAGCTCAGGCGGCTATGCATATGGTCCATGACATAAATCAATAAAAGCAAGGCCATTCACATTTAAAATATGGTGTGTTCCACATTAATTCACTCTAATGTGCTGAAGTATTTCTAGAACCTTTGATCAGCGTGTTAGATGCTGTAAATAGGCAATAACATTCAGACACATTTTTGCACTCAAAAGTTCTGACAAAAATTGATTTGGGGTAAAATTTTCAAAAGTGCCTCAGTGACCTGTGAGCCTAAGTCCTATTTTCAAAAGTGACTTAGAAGTCTAAATCTTATTGGCTTTTAATGGGAATTAGGTCCTAAATTCTTAAATCGCCTTTGAAAATGTTGCTCTTGTTTTGCAGATGAAATCACTACATAATATGAATTTCTTCCCTTAAGTGTACTAAAAAGTAGGGTCATTCCTTTTTGAAAATCAGTGACTGAACACAACCATAACTTTTTCATTACTTGTTTTAATATATGCATGCTAACACAGCGATAGCTTATTCTAAACACACACTATATTTGGACTGGAATTACAGTGGCTCTGCAACACATGTAGTGTTCTAAGGCCACAGTCCTGCAAGGTGCTGAGCATTCTTCTGAGGTGCCAAGTACCATCAACTCCCATAGAATCACTGGGAGATGAGCGTGCTAAGCACCTCACAAGAACAGACAGCACTATGTAGGTCTGAGCCTTACATGTGGATTTCAAACCAGTTCTGTGTTTCCAGATACACAGGGATCAAGTCCATTAGGGAGGCAGCATACTCCATCACTTGAACAGAATGGAGCTTCTGACTTCATTCACAGATTCATTAAGGCCATCTAGTGTGATTGCCTGCAAATCACATGCCATTACATTTCACCCAGTTACCCCTGTACTGAGCCAACATATCTCTCTCACATACACACACACACACACACACACACACACACACACACAC